ACTTCTATCCATATAAGCCAGTTCATTTCTGGCTTGGAGAGCACATTTTCCCTTTCCAGTGAAGACTGCAGACTGCTTCTCCCTGGCTGGGCTGAAAAACAGAAGATGTCTTGCCAGAGCAAAGTAGAGCAGACCAGTGTATTACAAGGCAGATTATCAAGAAGCAGAGTACAGCAATCTAGCTGGAGAGAGGCCCAGCCCCAGGGCTGACTGGCCCCAGATCTGTTCCACAGCCATGCTGTTTTCACAGCTGTGCTGTATGACAATTGAGCTGTTGGGCACTGAATGAAGTATCCTTCTTCACGGCACCCCAAGTTGGAGATTCTTGTTGTCACTGAATTGGCTGAAACAATCATCAGTTGACACACCAAAGGCCTGATAACCAATTTACCTTCTGAGTCCAGAGGGTATTGACTGCATTGAAGTCCTCACCTTTTCCCTAAATCAGAATCATTCTTTCAACTGGAAAACAGTCATCACTGAATCAGCCATACAATTCGTCAGTCTTTTTACTTACCACTGACAAGAATTACAGATGGTTAAAAATAAAGAGAGCTTTAAAATATCTCTTTAAAAAGTTCTGAGTGCTTACTATACCAGGCATTCACATGAATTACTTTGTTCAATCTTCAAAACCCTATGAAAATAGGTACTATCCATTATCCCCATTTTATAGATAAGAAAACTGAGCCTTAGTTACTGAGCATTAGGTTACTGCTGAGCAGTCTATGGCCAGTGAGTGATGGAGCAGGACACAAACTCTTGACCTCTATACTGACTTCCAATTAATTAATAATAATGGGTAATATTCATCAAGTGCTTACTATGTGCCCAGTGCCTTCTCTGGTTTAACCCTTTTATTTACAAATTTTAAAAATGAAACCCAAAGATTTTAGTTGATTGCCTCAATGTGACTAAAATAGTCAAAAGCAGAGTGGCAAAGGAATTTGAAATAATGCTTTATGTTTTCACTTCTGTAATTGGAACTGTGGTCCAGTTCAAAATAACTTAATTCTGGCCTTCTAAAACTCAGGCAAAACAAATTTTCTTTCACACCAATCTGCCTAAATTAGTCCCTGTATATTTTCCCTTTATGTGAGGTACAGACCTCTGGCCTTCACTTGAATAATTCCAGTGATGAGAAATTCATAACTTCTTATGACTTACTTCACATGAATTACCAGCAGATTCACTAAAAGCTTGACACAGCTCCTGTCCTCTGGAGGTGCACATTCCCTGAGAACAGGGACCTACCTGTTGCTGCACATGGCCTGTGTACTGTTCAATGAACTCGGTGAAGCGAATATAGTCTGTGCCCAAGCGGCAGAGCCGATTCAGGACACTGGTTTCACTGGGATGGAGAAACGGAAAGTCCTGTGACACCTGCAGGAGAAGAAGCAGGCTGAAAACACTGGTGCCTGTGATTCACTACATGCTGGTCTTTGAGGTCTTTCAAATGGGCTGTACTATTTATCATTTCCTTTTTCAAAATGACCATTTAAGACTGTTAAGTTCAGGGTAACAAAAGTATTTCCAAACCATTACAAAGGGGCTGTTCCCCACCCCTGACCTAATTAGTTCTTTATTGAAATAAGTGATAACTCATGGTAAAACATTCAAATACAAAGTGGTGTACAACCTCACCCTGGCCATGTTGCTCAGTTGGTTAGAGCATCATCCCCATATGCTAGGGTTCCAACTTCCATCCCAGGTCAGGGCACATACAAGAATCAACCAACGAACCCTGGCTAGGTAGCTCAGTTGATTAGAGTGTCATCCAGATATGCCAAGGCTACGGGTTCAATCTCCAGCCTGGGACATACAAGAAGCAACCAATGAATACACAAATTAAGTAGAACAACAAATCAATGTTTCTCTATCCCTCCCTCCCTCTCAAATATCAATTAAAATATCTTAAAAAGAATCAACCAATAAATAGATCAATGTCTCTCTCCCTCCCCCTCTCTAAAGTCAATAAATAAAAAAATTTTTTTAAATAAGTCAGTCTCCCCTCAGAGGCAGGTACTATACCTGTTTCTTTTTCTTTTTTTAAATACATATATATATATATTAAAGATTTATTTATCTTTAGAGAGAGAGGAAGGAAGGGAGAAAGAAGGGGAGAGAAACATTGATGTCTGGTTGCCTCTTACATGCTGCCTACTGGGGACCTGGCCTGCAACCCAGGCATGTGCCCTGACTAGGAAATGAACGGGGACCTTTTGGTTCACAGGCCTGGGTTCAATCCACTGAGCTACATCAGCCAGGGCTAAAAAAATACATACATTTTAAAATTTTTATTTATTGATTTGAGAGAGAGAGAGATCGATTTGTTGTTCCATTATAAATGCATTCATTGTTGATTCTTGTATGTACCTTGACTGGGGATTGAACCCTCAACCTTGGCATATCATGACAATGCTCTAACCAACTGAGCGACCCAGCCAGGGACTGACTACCTATTTCTTATGCAGCATTTCAGGGGTGTTCTTTAAAGATACTCCTAAAGATAGGAGGTTCTCCTAAAGATAGGTTTTCACCTGGTTGCAAAAAGGTTGTCTTTAGCAATGTCTTCAGCAAACTTCATTAATTTCTCAAACATATTCTTAGAATTAATAACTTCTCTATGAAACTTTAAACCTTGTTTTCATTTCAATAAAAATGTAAATAAATGTAGCATACTATAATCTATAAAGTCACCTTATAACTGGACATATATAGTATCCATATTTTTATTTGTATTTTAAATTTAAATAATAGCCAAATGATAGCCTAGTATGCTATAGAAAAGTTACACAGCAGTTCAAGTAGAAAAAAGTAGTGGGAGAATGTATCCGTTCAACCAACTTTTCCACAAAGAAACTGTGGCAAAATATACATATAAGTTACCATATTAGCCATTTTTAAGTGTACAGTTCTTGGCATTAAATGCATTCACATTGTTGTGCTACCACCACCACCATTCATCCATATCCAGATCATTTTCATCTTCCCAAACTGAAACTCTGAACCCATTGTACAAAGACTCTCTATTCTCCCTCCCCACAGCTCCTGGCAACCCCTCTTCTATTTCCTGTCTTTATTAATTTGACTATTTTCAGTACCTCAAATAAGTGGAAGCATATGACATTTGTGCTTTTTGACTGGCTTATTTCACTTAGTAGTATCTCCAAGTTTCATCCATGTTGTAGCATTTATCGGAATTTCTTTCTTTTTTAAGACTGAAAACCACTGCTCTGCAGAAAATATGCAGTGTTTTCTGGTTTGGGTGGCCTGTTTTTACTTAAGTATCTGAATACCTACTCTGTCAGAAACTGTGCCAGGTGCTCCTGGTACACCTATGAAAACCACTGTGATCTTTGCTCCCATGGGCAATCTGTGAGAGAAAGACTAGAAACAGGTAACAACAATAAATAATGTGAACTGTGCTAAACCCTGTAAGGGAAATAAACAAGTTTCTGGGATAGAGAATAATGGCATAGGGGAGGATACATAAAAAAAGATGGTTAGAAAAAGTTTTTCTGAGGAGGTGGCTTTAAAGGTGGGACCTTAAGGAAGAAAATCTCTGATTGAAACTTTTTATAAGAAAGAAAGGTAGCTCTCTTTCCTATACTGTTATGTCTTTTTACTTCACGTCATAAAGCACCCACAAATACTTCCTGGACATTTTCCTCCTATATGCTTGGAATTGTGCTAGTTTTATAAGGGAAAGGGAATAATAAGAGGAATTGCTTTGATTTACAGGTTTTATAGCCTAATAATGTTATTTTTCTGCTCTTCTCCAGGCTCTACTGACAATCCTCATTGGAATAAGCATGGCCTTGTCATCAAACAAAGCTTTATGGGAACCTTGCTATTACCAGGACTAGCCACCATAAATTCTCTGAACTTCAGTTTGCTCATTTGTATGTAAACTGGCGCTAACAATATCTAGTTACTAACTTATTGAGAGAATTAGATAACATTACTGGAAACATAAGTAGAAAAGAGTAATTCAGATACTGGAGCCAGACAGACCTTCAAGATCAAGCTTGCTAATTACCAGCTGTGAGCCACAGGGAGTTAACTGGTGATATGAAATTAGGTGGTTATGAACACTAAATTAGATAATGCATATAGTACACAGCCCTTCCTCCTCATACATTCCTGGTTACATGAAGGCCCCCTTCAGATTCTCCTAGTGCAGAAATTTCCTGAGAAAGGAGTCATGAGAGAAACACGCTCATTCATTTTTTCATTCAACAAAACTGGCTGAGCCCTTATTGTATGTTAAACGCTGCGTAGTTGGTCTAGCTTTCAAAATTCAATTCAAAACAGGGTGCAAGTGTGAAAATGGGAGAAAGCGCCTTCCTTACTTTTACATTGACTTAGTTCCCCAGGAACTCTCGTTCAAACACCTTAACTTTAAGCTGGGTCGGGTCTCCCTCTCCCTCCCCGAAGGCGGGGCCCTTCTGAGTCTGCCCTCCTTTTCCCAGCCTAGGCCCAACCCTCTCACCGTGTTCTAGTCACAAGTAGGCCTCTCCAGTCACTGGCCCAGGGACAAGCCTCCCGCCCCCTAAACCCCAGCAGGCCCTGCCCTCTGAGTACTTCAGACTCCTCCCCCAAGTACGGGCTCAGATCTACCCATTCTGCGCTTGCAAGTTCCCGCGCTTTGAACCGAACCGTACCTGAAGACCGCTCCGCTTGTTCCAGGTGAAAATGGACCCTGGGTACCCGCTCAGAGCCAAGAGCAGTTCGTGGATCATTCCCACCGCGGACGTCGAGTCCCTATATGCGTCACTCCTTCCTCCAGCGCCCTTTAAGGCGACCACGGAGTCCGATACCCACTTCCCAACACGCGTACAGGCCCCCGGGACTGACGGTTCCTTCTGAATCTACGTGCTGCACCAATTGCTGCGGGAAGGGCAGACGGAAAGCAGGGAAAGGGCGCGCCGCGTTCCGGAAGTGAGCGGCGCTGACAGGGCCCACCCGTTGACGCCAAACGAGGCTTCGCTCCGGGTGTCGCGGCTACTAACTTTGCGCATGCGCCCCGGCGCTTGAGTCACCCGCTCGGACTTCCGGTTTGAGAGCTGGACAAGGCCAGAGAGCCTGGCTTGAGGCCGACCGGGGTGGATGACGCCGGCCCGTGGGCAGAGATGCGAGTGGGTTGAGGGACCCGAAAGAGAGACACTTCCAGCGGTGGGCCGGAGGGTGCTCTCAGGCCACTTAGCTGGGTCGGAGATCTCTGGAGGGCAGTACACCACGGCTCCGAGAGTGACCTGGCCGGAGGGAGCGAAGACAAAGAGGCCGAACCCCGCACCCGCGGCTCCCTGAGCTGAGTTCCGCGCCCGCGAACTCCGCAGCACTCGGACCTCCTGGCCTGCACCCGAGCTCGTCCTCAGGAGACCCATTACTACTGCCCCCTCGGATTCTCTCTCTCTACCAACTCAGTGCGACTCTCCCCAAGCCCAACCGGTTCTCGCTTCAGGAGCCAAAACCAACTTCTTCCAGTCGCGGTTTCCCGTCACTAGTTTCCGAATATTTGTTGAGCAGTTACTTGTGCTGTGAGGAAAAACAAAGACCCAGTTTTCAGTATTTGAGTTTTGCCTGGGGTGGGAATTGGTAGTTGTAGAGTCCTAGGGGGCAGGGAATACGTAGAGGCCTGGGGAAGGACTATGGAGGTGTACTGGGGAAGATCAGCTGCAACCCGTGGACAGAGGTTTTTTGTTGCCTTGAGCAGGATGGCGACTTGCCATTAGATCCTGAGCTCCAGGTCTCCCATGTGGTTCGAACCCACTTTGCAACATTGGTCAGAACTAAATGGGATTAGATTTGGGGGAGGGGGAAGAGGAGCAGACTACTTTCTTTTCTCTGCTGTATCTCCAGGCCGCCTTGGGAAATCGCCCCAAAATGCAGCTTTTGGAACTTTTCTCTCCATGCTCAGTTTTGGCTTTCTATTCTGAAGTTGGTGCTACCTCAGCTGGCCACATGGAGCATATATTTGGGAAGTCAGGCCAGCAATGGCAAGACTTTAGACGTATGAATATATTCCCTCTGATAGTGCCATCTCTCTCTACCCTAGGAGGAAACTCTTACAGAGACACTCATCTGCAGGTGATTCTCCAAGGCCATGGGAAGACAGGTGTAAGTTCTGGAACATAGACCCTTAAGTGGAGGAAAGCTGCTTTCTGCTGTGAATGATGGCCAAACCTACTCTGAGAGGGAATGGCACTAACTCTGAGACCTTCCGACAACGCTTCAGGAAATTTCATTACCAGGAGGTAGCTGGTCCCCGGGAGGCTTTCAGCCAACTCTGGGAACTTTGCTGTCGGTGGCTGAGACCAGAGGTGCACACCAAGGAGCAGATTGTCGAGTTGTTGGTGCTAGAGCAGTTCCTGGCCATCTTACCTGGGGAGATCCAGAAGTGGGTGCAGGAGCAATGTCCAGAAAATGGAGAGGAGGCTGTGGCACTGGTGGAAGATTTAGAAAGACAGCCTGGAAGACCTGGACGTTCGGTAAGAAGGGAGGAGGAATTCAGAAGTGTTTGGGCAGGACAAGGCCAAGGGGCCAAATGAAGGTACAGACATTTTTAAAGAGGGGTACAGTGTTCCTTGGTAATGCTTATACTTGTCCTGGAACAGGTAACTTTTTCAGATACAGTTTATCTGGAGATGCTGCTTGGGTGTATCTTTGCTACCCTGTCATCATCATGAGTTATTCATAGATTCATAGTTTTTTATTTAGTAGAGAAGAGGGTTTATTTTTTTAGCCTATAGTAGGGTTTACTATTTTGATATTTTCCTATTGATGTTCCAGCTGCTCTAAGCTAACAGTAATGGAATAAGAATGAGTCTTGTTGGCTGTTACCACCACCACCATTACTAGCCATGCCCACAGGGATGGTGTGTTTTTTTGGAGGGTATTAAATAATCTCCTTTGGGAATGTCCCTCATTATAACCTTGCAGTGACAATTGGTGGGGGTTGTTTCTAGGTCACAGTCTCTGTGAAGGGGCAGGAAGTGCGCTTGGAGAAGATGACACCCATGAAATCATCACAAGAGTTATTAAGTGTTCAGCAGGAGTCAGTGGAACCCCAGTCCAGGGGTGTACCCAAGAAAGAGAGGGCAAGAAGCCCAGACCTGGGACCACAGGAGCAGATGAATCCAAAGGAGAAGCTCAGACCTTTTCAAAGGAGCGGTGAGGAGTAGATTCATATGGGAAGATAGTATTCCATTCTAAGTTGGGAAGTAGGGTTTGGGAGTAGCGAGTGGAAAAGGGATTTCAGAATGAGTGGCAATTATAGACTGTGTGGTTGTTGGAGACTTCCTGAAGGCATATAGTTTAGTTCTCTGCTGCAGTGAGAATTCTTATATTTCCTCTTGATAAGTCTGCCAGAGGATGGTTCTCTAGTTTTTATCAGAATTTTGAGCTATTTTATTTCCTCCTGGTAAGGATGATACCAAGTCAGTATTTTCTAGATAAAAATTATTTTCTGTACTTGAAAGTACATCTTCCTTTTAGTCATTTTCCTTCTTGGAAACAAACTATTTATGTTTTCTCCCAGGAGCTCCATTATACAGATGTATTAAATTAAGTCTTTTATTTTTTTTAAGATTTTAATTTATTTTTAGAGGGAGAAAGGGAAAGAAGTATTGATGCATGAGAGAAACATTGATTGGTTGCCTGTAGCATTTGTTGCCTCTTGCACACCTCCAGTGGGGGAGAGGGACTGGTCCGCAACCTGGGCATGTACCCTGACCTGGAATCGAACCAGTTACCTTCCAGTTTGCCCAGCGATGCCCAACCCACTGAGCCACACCAGCCAGGGCTCAGATGTACTAAGATTTTGTTACTGTCCCTTGGAAACTTTAAGTTCTCCAAATATGTCAGTTGTGGAAAACTATGTGATGTGTGTGTGTGTATTTATTTATTTTCAGTGAGGATCTGATAGGTTGAGACAGAGTAAGAATTTTATTTCAGAATTTCACATTTTCTTTCTGTATAGCTCAGCTAATTACTTGATGATTATTGTTCACTTGGTAATTCTCAGGACTCTCATAGCCTTCCCCATTGTCTTTGTGTCTAGTGCTTACTCTTGTACATGATTTTGTAGAGCTTGTTTTTCTACTCTGTACTCTTATTGAACTCCAAATTGCATGTTTTTTCTTTGATCATTTCTTTAACTTGTTGAGGTTGTTCTGAAATCTGATCTTACTAAGAATCTAGCCTCTCAGTCAGTTTGGTAATAGTCTCTGTCAGTCACCCAGATACAATCCCTCAACACCACACACAGGTTTGTAGAGTGAATCAGTTTTTGAACACCTACCTACCATGCGATCAACACCTTGCAAGGTATTCTGCAATAAGAAAAGATGCCTGTCCTTAAAAAGCTTATAATATGATTAAAAACATAACAGCAAACATAAAGATATGCTGAACTGAACTGTACTGAAACAGTGCTAAACAATGGCTTGTTACTCAATTGTGCCAGTATAAGCGGGGGTTTGGCACAGTGGAAGATAGGAGGGCCTATTGGCAAATATGCTTGAAGAAGGGGTTAAATGTGGACAGGAGGGGAGGAGTCTGATATGAATGGACAGTACATAGTAGGCACTCAGGTTAAGGTCCAGTGACTGCTGCAGTTATCTGGGTTGTGAGGTGAGGAGTCTAGACTTGGGTGGCAGTAGGAACAGAGTACATACTAAGGGAAAAAACCTTTAAAATTTGGTGGCTGAGTGTGAAGGAAACAGATGAATTGAAGATGATTTCCCCTGTGCTCCCCTCTCCCTTGAAATCTGAGTTTAGTTTTTAGTCCCAAGTGGAGAATTCTAAGAAACAGGAGGTGTCTGTTCCCAGCAGTGCCGTGATCTGCCTTTAAGTGGTCCGGGGGGCCAGGGAGCAATTTGGAACAGAATTATCTGCTCTAAACTTACAACAGACCTTTTCCTCTCTTCACCCTGCTCTGGACAATACAGTATTTCTTATTTTTTGATGTTTCATGTATTTTCACCATTTTCTTCAGCATATTGAACTTTCTGAAAATATTTCCTTAGACACTGTTTATAAGCTTCTTGGATAAAAATGGCAGGTCTGAACTCAGAGATGATTATTATCATTTTAATGATCATTCCAAACTATGATGTCCTTTGTTTGCTTCCTGGCAAGCAGGATTTCCATTTCCTAAATCCGGTGTGGTCTCCAAGTTGGAGCAAGGAGAGCCTTGGATCCCAGATCTGGGCTCCAAGGAAAAGGAACTCCCAAGAGGCAATCTCACAGGAGACAGACAAATGCATGCTGACCTGTTAGCATCCAGGAGAGAGAAAAGACGCTGGGTAGAACAGGATCACTGGGGCTTTGAGGATGAGAAGGTGGCAGGTGTGCATTGGGGCTATGAAGAGACCAGAACTCTCCTTGCAATTCTTAGTCAGACTGAATTTTATGAGGCCCTCCGAAACTGTCATCGAAACAGCCAAGTATATGGGGCTGTGGCTGAGCGGCTCCGGGAGTATGGCTTCCTCCGGACCCTGGAACAGTGTCGGACCAAGTTCAAAGGTCTTCAGAAGAGCTATCGTAAAGTCAAGAATGGCCACCCACCTGAGACCTGCCCCTTCTTTGAAGAGATGGAAGCCCTGATGAGTGCTCAGGTAATTGCCCTGCCCAGTAATGGCCTGGAAGAGGCAGCCTCTCACTCTGGCTTGGCAAACAGTGATGCTGAGACTGAGGAGCCAGGGCCAGGGAGTTGGCAGCATGAGGATGGAGTAGAAGAGGCCATGGCTGAAGAGTCTGACAGTGATGAAATGGGCCAGAAGGCCAACCTCCAGGACACCAACAACTCAACCGCCCCAGTCCTTTTCCGAAGTCAAAGTGGTAAGCATTTTTGGGGGGAGTGTGGGGTTAGACTTGAGGAGTTATGAGACTGGATGTGGAGTCATGAAGCCTAATGTGACCTGCCAGCTTTGTCACTTAGAGAATAAAGAGGCACTTTAGTTTCATGTGTATTTCATTCTGTGGTAAAGTTCAGTGAGATAATAGGAAGTAGGGAATAATTTTAGGTATTTTAAAGAAATACACTCAGCTAATAATGCAAGTGAATCCTGAAAAGGAATATCAGTGCTTCCATTTCTTTATTAAAAATTTTTTCCCGATTAAAAAATCATTAAAGGCTGAAAAAAACTTGGCACTATTTTAAGAACTAATTATCAAATACCTTTTATGACCTGGTGTTTTATCTTTTACTCCCTCAAATCTCAAAATTAGTTTGTTTCTTTTAAACTTAGCATAGTGAATGATTACCCAAAGTTGGGAAAACAGTCTCTGAGTCTCCTATGAGATTTGCAACACACACTGGCATTTAAGAGGAATGAGAAATCTTGGAGTGAGAAATCTTGTTTAGTACTCTATGTTGAAATATTATTTGCCTGTGGAACAGTTTTGTAAGTATCTTTTATTACCTTTGATGTAATTTCTATAACCATGTTGTTATGGAAAGGGCACCAAAGTACCAGTCAGGAGGCTTTGTTTCTAATCTTGACCACTAATCCGCTGAGTGTCCTTGGACAGTTATCTGACCATTTCAGAGTTTGTTTCCTGAACTATAAAATGGGGAATGGCAGAAGGACTGTATCTCTAAAGTTGTAGTTCCATTGTGAACAGTGACTTTTTGCTTCCATTTTTAAATTAAACGTGGTATTATTTTAGGTCTATTCTTCTTCTACTTTTCCCTTTCTTTTTTATTCATTATTTTTCTTTTTTTGTCACTGGAATAAAAGGTAGATAAATCACAAATGTGGCACATCTGATAGCTGCTGTAATTTTCATTCTTTTCACCCTTTTCCACCGCTTTTTGTCTTTCAATTCTTTCCCCTTATTTGCTTATGGTGAGTGGAGGATAATGGAAGCAATGTAATCTCCAGCTGGTTCTCAAGTGGGAGGAAGACTCTTTGAATCTCCCTTCCCTTTACCTTGGTTACCTTTAGGGAACAGAGTCTGTAATTGTCCTGATGAAGTACTGCCTGAGTGGGGCCTGCAGCACTAGCACGTGTCCAGGCAGGAGATGCTGTCTGCTCTGCTTCCTTCCTTTTTCTGCTTCCTAATGATAAGTTGCATAACTATGGGGTCCTTTATCTTGTACCCTTTCGGGTCTTTGTTATTGTTGGGCTTTTTTCTCCCCGAGATTGTCACAAGTGAAGAAGGGCCATAATAGGGATCAGGCAACAGTGTGACTTTAAAAGAGATTGTTTGTTGGATTTCTGAGTCATTCTTTGAAAACTTTCATGATACAGATCATAGGATTAAGAAATTGAGGCTTTAAAGCTGACATTTCTCTCCTGGTGGCAGGTGTACACTGGGGCTATGAAGAGACAAAGACTTACCTTGCAATTCTTAGTGAGACTCAGTTTTATGAAGCCCTCCAGAACTGTCACCGCAATAGCCAGTTGTACGGAGCCGTAGCTGAGCGGTTATGGGAATATGGCTTCCTTAGGACACCAGAGCAATGTCGGACCAAATTTAAAAGCCTACAGACAAGCTATCGGAAAGTCAAGAATGGCCAAGCACCAGAGACCTGCCCCTTTTTTGAGGAGATGGATGCTTTGGTGAGTGCCCGGGTTGCTGCCCCACTCAGTGATGGCCAGGAAGAAGACACAGCCTCTTTCCCCATCCAGGATACCAGTGAAGCAGAAGAGGCCACGGAAGATTCTGATGATGAAGAGGATACTGAGCTACCCCCGGGGGCTGTTGTGACACGTGCTCCAGTTTTATTCCAGAGTCCTAGTGGTAAGGTTATTGTACTTCTTAAGGCTTAAATAACAAAGGGGAGGCAGTGGGACTTAGGGAAAAAAATAATCAGATTGAAACCTCTATACCCCACTCTCATGGATTCTTCTTGTGACCATCTATCTTTTCTCTACATTCCCTGTCTATTAAAGCAGTTCAGTGAGGGGATACAAATTACTCACTTGACTTGCCTCCTCACACAGCATCAATTAAAACTGGTTTCAAATTTTGTAAATTTGCTATCATCTATGTGTCAGTTGCTAGGTTTCTAGGCAGTTTACCTACCAGGAAATCTGAAAGCTAACATTTCCCATGTACCTGTAATAGGATGAAGTTGATTTTAAAAGTTCATTCTCATTAGTTTGTTCTTCTAGTTTTAGCTTATATACCAGCTGTATGTTTCCTTTATATATCTATTTGAAAACCTAGTAAACTCTTTCTTCAGACATACTTATGCAAAAGTCTGAGATTTCTGCGTTATTGGACCCTTTGAATCTTAGCTGTTGTATAAGGAAGAAAATACTTCACTATGGTTTCCCTCCTTAAGGGAAGAATAATTCTGATTTTTGGAGTCATACGTGTACAGGGGTGGGCAAAAGTAGGTTAAGTTACCAGCCATCATTACCTAACAGATAAATCATAAGTAAAGCTATGAAATAATACAAATAATACAGTAATTAATAAATAATAATAAAAGAATAAACTCTGTTTTGGCATACTCACAACTGTAAACCTACATTTGCTCACCCCTGTATATGTGTGTGAATCTGGATTCTGCTGTTTATAAGTTGAGTAACTTAAAGCAACTTATGTAACCCTGTAAGTTTACTTATCTATGAAGACCTACCTCAAAAGGCTGATAGAAGTGAGGTTCCTCAGTGAAGCACCTAGCACCATGCTTGGGTATGTAGTAAGTATTCAATAAATAGCAGTTTTCCAAAAATTTTAAATGAATATTCTTCAAGAGTGTTTTATAGATCATCAGTTCCATGGGGGTAATAATACACTGCACTAAAAAATGCCTTCTGGGTTTAAGAAATGGCTAAATTAAATACTCCTCATGAAGGATCACAAACATATTTACATATTTAAGTTTCTGAGACTTCATTTACCCGGACGAACCTCTATTTTATGGGGCATCTCTTAAAACTGGGCTTGTAAGTAGAAATACTGCTTTAGAGGTTATGATACACAGGCTGACACTCAGTGTTCTTTTGCTTTTAGATTTTGTCCAGGAAACTAGGGATCCAAAGTTCACCCGAAATATCTGAAGATGCTATAAATTCAAACTAAAAATGTGCAAGTATCTGCAAATTCACATTATCCTAGGCTTGGGGAGCCTGGCATTTGGTTCTTAGAATATTAAAAGCTTAGCTTGGGCATTAGAATAAACGCTTTGGGGATATTTAGTGATTATCTTTCCATAAGCAAAGAGAATGTTTTTAGTGAGGTACTTCCTAGCAAATTTCTCTCAGAAGGCCTTGGTGTTCTGTGAAAGACACCAAGTATTTTTCTACCCTGTTTTTATTCTCAGCAAGTACTGGAATTCGAGCAGAAGAGGACTCATAGCTCTTTTTGTATATACAGGTTTTCCAGGGCATTCCCTTCTAATCCCTTTAGCTATTGGCACAAAATAAATTAGAATACCATTATAGGCCTGAGATGAGACAAAAATATAGCATTACAAAGTGTCCTCCCCGTATACAGATGTTGATAGTTTTAAATGTAGTAGGTTTTTCTTGTTATACTGAGATTTTCTGAAGGTCCTGGGAATCCAGGAAGAGTTAAAAGAATATACTGATCAGCACTGTGTAGATGAGAAGCATGTGATAGGTTATCAAGTAGAAGAGGAAAACACTCGAATTTAATGGATGATAATTATTTGGGATCTAGAATTCACTAATTTTTATCTTTAATCATCTGATGTGATACTTATTTTACCTTGGTACATAATTGAGGAAATGGATAACTTTTAAAATTCTATTCTTTTATCAGGTTTTGAGGCTGGATTTAAGAATGAAGAGAATCTAAAACGAGATATTTCTGAGGAAGTACAACTACATAGGACATTACTTGCAAGGTCTGAAAGGAAAATTGTCCGGCATCTTAATCGGGACAAAGGCAGTGAGAGTGGATGTAGATCAGGAAGACAGTGGGAAAGGACCCCAGGGGAGAGGAGAGGAAAACCCACACTCCCAGAGAGAAGTTTAAGTAAAGTTGTAAGTCATCAGAGACCTTACTTAGGAGAGAGACCCTATAAATATCTTAGATATAGCAAAAACTTTGGTCCAAACTCCCACCTCATGCATCAGATATCCCATCAAGTGGAAAATCCATATAAATGTGCTGACTGTGGAAAAAGCTTCAGTCGGAGTGCACGCCTCATTAGACACCGGAGAATCCACACTGGAGAGAAACCGTATAAATGTCTTGACTGTGGGAAAAGTTTCCGTGACAGTTCAAATTTCATCACCCACAGGAGAATCCACACAGGAGAGAAACCGTATCAATGCAGTGAGTGTGGAAAACGTTTCAATCAGAGCTCAAGCCTTATAATTCACCAGAGAACCCACACTGGAGAAAAGCCCTATCAATGTGAAGAGTGTGGAAAGAGCTTCAATAATAGTTCTCATTTTAGTGCACATCGGAGGATACACACAGGAGAGAGACCCCATGTGTGTCCTGATTGTGGAAAGAGTTTCAGTAAGAGTTCTGACTTACGGGCACATCACAGAACCCACACAGGAGAAAAACCCTATGGGTGTCATGATTGTGGCAAGTGCTTCAGTAAAAGCTCTGCTCTGAATAAGCACAGAGAAATCCATACACGAGAAAAACTTCTGACACAGTCAGTGCCTAAGTAGTAAGCCCCTGAGGATCTATAAGAAAATAAAGAGCCTCAATAAATGTATTGAAATTGTTTGGAAAAGTCTTTAAATAGTGAGATCCATCTCCTATTCTGTGCCCAACTAGCTTAGGAAATACTCTAGAATTTACCTCACTGTTCCAGTTTCTCCTGGATCAAATTCCCATGGCAGTCATCTTAAGAATGAAAGGAAGATTTCAATCCCTCTCCACGCCTGCATCTGAACTGACAGGTAACATCTTTCCTATGTTGTTCCCTTAACAGAAAGGTCATGGTAGTAGATCCTGTGAGTCTGACATGTACCCTTCTTTATTCATCTTGTTTATCACTGCAACAGCATTCAGGGAGAAGATGTGAGACTTTTCTTATTGAGTGGGTCTAGCTCTTTATACAGTAATAGAAATACAAAAAAGAATGACTCTTCGTGCTCACTTAAGCCTGTGCCCAGAATGAAATACAGATGGTCCCCAACTTATAGGAGTTTGACTTTGTGATAGTGCAAATGCAATATGCATTCACTAGAAACCATCTAGGCTATGATATTTGGTGGCTTTAAAGACATTTTTTACTTATCATATGTTCAATTTATGATAGGCTTATCTGGACATAACCTCATTGTAAGTAGATAGACATCTGTATTTGTCATGAACTGTTCATCTACCTTGAAGAAGGAGAGTTTAATGTCCATCTTGGTTCTGACCTATGAATCTTATAAAGAACCTAGGTGTTCTATATGGGGAAACAATGTAACTTTGTATAAATATTGAGGTGTAAACCCTGTATTTCTTAGTTTCTTCCAAGCCCTAGAAAATGTGGAATAGAAGCATACTGCATTTACAGTTCTAGTTTGACTTTTTTGTGTTCCATCTCATTTGAATTTCATCTGTCCCTTGTGGTCCAGAAGCCCGAAGAGCAAGGTAGCTGGATGTCATGATTGGGAAAGCAGTTAAAGCAATTATAGACAGGGAACTGTCTATGTTCCACACACTCCAAACACCTAGCATACTGTTAGATACCCTGTGGGTGTTCAGTACTGACCTACAGTGAGCCAAAGCCACTGCCACATTCCCATGGATGAGAAGACAGACCAATCCAACAACTCTTTACCCTAATGGCAAGGAGGACAGATTATCTTTGGTTAGTTCAGTTGCATACATGCACATGCATATATTCAACCGTACCCATCTATTTTTAAAAGCAGGTCTTCACACCTAAGTGTAATGCTGATCTTTATAATCAAATAGTTTTACATTAATTACCCATATGTTCATAGTAATATGATGAACTCTATATAGCACAAATTAAATAGTCCTTGTCTTTATACAATCTAAAATGACACTGGCATGGACAAATAATAAGTATATGTGTATACCTGAAACAGTTTTAAAACTAGCTAGTAACACTGCATAAATATTAAGGTCTATTGCATTAGAGTTTGGAAAAATCTGGGAGGTATTTTCTTCTCTTTGTTCAGGAAGGCTTTGTGAAGCAGGAAGTGTTCAAAGGAGGGAAGATTATTGGGTAAATTAGGGTGAGATGAACATTCCAAAAGTGAGTACTGAGTGGATGAGACATGGGAATATTGGGGAGCAAGGTGTTTTGTGCAGATGGAGCAGAGGGCAAAGGAGAAACTGTAAGGAAGGTTAGACAAAGCTTAGAGCAGCACAAAATTTGAGAACAGTGTAATATGGGCTGTGCCGGAGGCAGAGAAAGAAACATGGAGTACCAGAGGCAGATCAGGAGGTGATGCTCCCATCATCTACAGTAATTCAGGTGCTCTGCTGTACTTATTAATAAGGAAACAGCTGGTTGCTGCTGGAGAAGAATGAACAGCTATAGTGGATTAGCTCCTATGGAAAACAAGGGTCAGAAACTGCAGTATTTTGAGAAGATACTTCTTTAATGGGCAGGTCAGGAAAGAACTTGAGTAGATGGCCAGTGCAAGGCCTTGGATAAGTAGCTGTTTCACATTTACACTGAATCACAGTCCTATGGCTGGGATGAGGTCTTGGAGAGGAGAGGGGAGATTGAATATTATGTAATTCACAGTTTACTGTTTTAGATGAGGGATTAATTAGGGTTCTGGTGTTGAGGGGTCCTGGTACAAAGATTCTAACATTTATTAAGAATTAAAGGGAGGTTGTATTTCCATTATATTTCCTAAGCAGATAGGAAGATATAAGAAACACCAGTCTAAAGCAGTGCTTCAGGATCTGAGATGGTTTAGAAAGTGTACTATTGTTTTTTTAAAATGAGAGGATTCTACCTTTAGTATGTCTGTGCATAGTCTTGTGGGAAAGCAAGTAGTTGGGGTATCAACAGATATGAATTGTGGTTCCAGATGTCTTATGTGTAAGTCAACTTGCCTCCAATTCCCTTTCTGTAAAGCAGAATAATATTTACACCTTAATCTGCCTCTCAGGGATACCATGTTAATAAAAATTATATTTATAAAGTGCCCAGTGTTTCATCAGACATTTTTTAAAACATGTACATGAAAGTTATGATTAACTTGTTGCTGGTGGGAAAAGATAAATCTTCACCTGCTTTTTTTGGCTCCCTGTGTGGGGTTACTGGGAGAATGTTTGTCTGAATCTTTATGTTCTGGGCTGAGAAATAGATTAGAATATGGTCAAAGAGAAATTAGAATGAAAATCCTTCCTTGGTATCTGTGTCCATATCCATAAGGCTCCATCATTACTGAACATGGAGAGTAAGTCTTATTTTAAAAGACCCAGGACCAGGACCATCCCTCCAACCTCCAGATGAAGAAAGTGTGTAGAAGAAATAGGGCAAATGCAAAGTCTCTTACTGGGGAAAAACCAGTTCACCTCAAACTTGCTCACAAATCATTATCTGTTACCCAATTTGCCATTCCTAAAGATGAAGGAAGTAAGAAATAATAGTTTTCAAACATTCTAAGGAAGAGAAACTAAGCCCACTGTTGAGGGAGCAAGGGAATCTATATACCCCTATCCTTTTAACACCCACAAGACCTTTGTGGGAACAGACTGAGTTGCACATGCAGCAAAGAAGAATGTATTAGTAGGAGCTGGGCAGTCATATTAATTTCCATCAGTTATTTCCCTACTGCTATTACTTCTTTTCATTTATTTTCCCCATGCCATCCTTCTTCTTTTATTGCTTGTGCTCTATGGCCAAAGCCATAGAACTTAATGACATATATAGTCTCAATGTTGCGGCCATTTTCCTTTTACAATAATTTGAGTGTTGTCAACTCTGTAGAGAACTGTTTTTATGCTGGCCATGTAGGGAAGATGAGAATGAACATAAAGATGGATCAATTCTTTCTCCATTATTCAATTCAAAATCTAAAATGAAAACTTTATTTATATATATTCAAATAGCTATCCAGTGAGATACATGTCTCAAAGTTTTGATGTACAGTGTTACTGAGCATTCTTTGACACCATGGTGCTTAAAATAACATGTTATATGGAAATATTTTAATTAGTTTAAATTCTTCCAACATCCATCATGGGGTCTTTTCAGAAACAAAACTTTGGAACTACTGGAAGTCAGATTAAAGGCTGGAAATACGGAGTAAGGTCAAGGGAAGGGGTGACAAAAAATAATAAAGGCTGGAAATATAGGCCTTTGAAAGTATCCTAGAGCTCAAGAAGCATCTGGCCAGCATAGCTCCATATGGTCAAAGTAAGAGAAGAGAAAAGGTAAGGTAGACACATTTAAAAAAAAACCAAAAGCCTGGAAACTTGATTCCCGAGGAATTAATCGTAAGAAGGAGAAAGCCAGATCTCAGCAGCTAATTTTATCTGTCACTAGAGTTTCCTAAAGTAGAAGAACCCTGACTACTGGATATTCACAAAAGCCCATGGAATGCAGTATAGCCTTGAGTCAACAATTTTGGGGAATACTTAAGAGACTCTGATTATAGCAAGCACAACAAAATACAGAGCTGTTGTCAGAAGCTGGAAAGCTTGAAGGTTTTGGAGGCAATCTGTTTTCCCCTTCTCCTCATCACTTTATTTAAACTAGTAATTCCAAAACTTTTCCTGAAGAAAAACTACTTTGAATTTCCTGAAGTTTTAGGATCACTAATGCAGAAGGGCAAGTAAAAATCAGTGGTGGAATGGGGAATTTAGCAGCAACATTCAGGTCCCTTCTAGTAAGCAGCATATACATAAGCTATGTAAGACCTTGGAGTCTGTTAGTCAATTTAAAACATATTTACTGAGCACCCACCATGAGTAAGATGCTGGTGATGGAGCCCATGTTAATCGGCTACTATTCAAAGGGAGAGGTGAATGGTTTACTAAGAGGAATATGGCAAGAAGATCTTGGTTGCAACACATACTCAAAAGTAATTCACCTCATTACAGCTTAAAAATGTAACACTTTAGGCTTCAGGTGATTCCACTTGCTCTTCAGTTCAGACCTGGTACTCTCAGAAGCAAAGATGTAGTTGATGGATTCATAAGACAGATCCCATACCTGCGACAGGGTCAAATTAAAATTTTCAGCTGCCAGCTGGTACTCTTGGGAAAGGTGTGTTGCAAAAACACCCTTATCATCGGTCTGCCAATATAAGAAAGTTTCAAAACGAATCAGGCAATGATTTTTTAAAAAAACTTTTGTTTAGAGTCCCCATATTTTCCTATTCACCATGCTTCTTTTAAGAGCCTAAACAGGGGCTTATAAATATATCCATGCCTCCATAACTAAATAGGTTTGCTTACCCTTAAAACACACACACACACACACACTCACTCTCTCTCTCTCAAGCAGTGCTCTAATCATGACTGTGTATTAAAATCACCTAGGGAGCTTTTAAAACATAATCTGGATGCTCTCCAGATCATATAAAGCAGAATCTCAAGGGATGGGTGCCAGGCATCACCATTTTCCTTTTAGTGTTCCCCCAGGTAGAGCCAAACCAAAGTCACCCTGGCTGTTTACAGCCTCTTATGCCCCAGCACCCTCTCACTCTATTTGGGCCTTATTACCCTCAGGCATGCAAGGCAGTAAGCTAGGTATTGAATGTCTGAACTAATGCAACTCAGGGACTAAAAAAGAACAAAATACTTCACACAAAACACCTTACACAGATCACAGAAGGATGGGCAGTGCTGTACCAGAATCCAAAATGATGCTGGTCATAAGATGGAACTGTCTGACTTTTGATGTTTGAGGTCAAACAGAGTTCTAGATGAAAAGGGGGGAAAAGCCTTTTATTAAAAGCAGGTTAGTAGACTCATTCATCAAGCAGATACATGAGAAACCTTTCCAAACTATGCTAATAGTTCATTATTTTGCAAAATTGACCTTTTCTTACGTGTGAAAATTTGTAATTCAATTAGTGTGGTTGTGCAAGAAATGTGCAACTTATGATAGCAACTGTGCCAGGCAGGGAATTAATATCCCCTGCACAGTCATGTGCTTCCCTCTTCTACAAAATAGAGAAAAAAGAGGAGTGTAAAAGACAGTCACATGAAGAAGCCAGGGGATTATCTGAGAGTTGCTACACTTCTACCTGGCCTTAAAGTGGAGGCTAAAATAAAGGTAAGATAATGGCAGCACTGTTTGAGGGTTACATATTATAAAATGCCAATAGCAGAAAATGACCTTTTCCATGGCTCTAAGGAAAACCCCTAACAGTCACTCAGACAACCATCAGTCATTGCCTGTTGCAAGTCTATCTTAAGAATGACTTCCATTAGCAAATTCCTGCCTTGAAACACTGCACCAGTCTCCCTAGGCAGAGTACAATACTTCACCAACTTGACTGACAGCATTCGCTCCCTTGGGTAAGGCAGCCTCAACACAGGGCCACTCGGTCCAAGGAACGGCACACCCAACCTGCCCCTCGCTCCGCTGGGAGCAGAGCTGAGCTATCACACCAACTATTTTCTCTAGTTTTGTTGATGTTTAAAAATTTCCTCAATAAAAAAAAAGCCTCACTTGTTATGAATTACTGAAAATTCTATAAATAGTTCAATGGTGATGGAAGGTGATTTAATTTGGGGTGGTGAACACAACACAATAGATATAGACGATGTATTGTAGAATTGTACATCTGAAACCTAGATAATTTTATTAACTAGTGTTACCAAAAAAAAATTCAGTAAAAAAAAAAAGCATATCTACATAAGTGTTCTTGCAAATTGGTAAATTTATAAATTCAGTTAATTTACCATTCAGTCAATTGCTTCTTTCTCCAGAAAGGCCTTCCTTAGCCATCTAACCAAAAGTGGTTATCTCATCACTGTATCAGCCTGTTTAATGTTCTTCAAAGAACTTAACAATGATATTTTCTAATACATTTGTTTACTGACTCTTACCTATGCTAGAATAGGTTCCTTGAGAAAGCTTGTCTGTTTTGTTCACTGCTCTATTCTCAGCAATTTGAAGACTGACTGGACCACAGTAGCTTCATAAATATATGCTGTTAGACAAAAACAGCTCCAGGTATATATATGCAGACAAGTGTGTAGTTGTCAATGGACATATAAAGATATACTCTGAATTTTTCATAATTCTTAACTTTTAAATAAATGTTATATTTTCATAACACATGAATTTGGTTAAAGTCACTTCAAAATACTAGATGCCCCTTATTATTTCAGTATAAAACTAAGTTCCAGGATCTGGGGGATGTAACAGTGAACAAGACAGATAAGGACCCTGCTTTCATAGAGCCTCTAATGGGAGTTAAAACTTCCAGTTACCTAAAGGAATGCTCAGAAAGCACATACACCATGCATCTTTTATTTTCTAAATGCTATTTTTATATTTAGAACAAAACTTCTTTACATACAGGTTACAATCTCTAGGGGCTGGCGGTGGAAGGGACAGGGTTATCTGCAGGACCTGAAGCCCTGAGCCTTACCCAGTGGCATCTGGTGTTGCCTCACAAAGTCCACCAGATCCAGGGATCCACTCTCAGAGTTGTTGAGAAATGTCCCATGCCCGATTCTGTCAGGAAGCAGATCCAGGAGTACTTGTGTTTCTTTTTTGGAGTTTGGAATCTCAAAAGAGAGAAAGCATCAATACTTCTTTCAGTGATTCTTTTTTTTTTTTTTAATTACCTTTATTTGTTCATGCAACACCTAGGACATGCTTATTGGTTTGGGAGAGAGGGAAAAGGAGAGAGGGAGAGAAACATCGATATGGGAGAAACATCAATTGGTTGCCTCACATCTGCCCCAACCGGGAACTAAACCCACAACCTAGGTATGTGCCCTGAAGGGAAATCGAACCTATGACCTTTCAGTTTACAGGACAATTCTCAGACCAACTGAGCCACACCAGCCAGGTCTTTCAGTGGTTCTTAAAAGTGCTTTTTTCTATAGCCAGGTTGTTTGTCCTTGAGAAGGTAATGCAGACATTCTGGAAAGCTGAACTACTTATACTTTCCCAGCTCTCCTCTTTGCATTTTATCTTCCTATTCCTTTACCAATATTCTAGATTCATTTCAATGATAATAACTATAGCCAATAATAATAATAAGCACTTATTAAGGACCTACTTTGTGCCTTTTGACAAATTTTCCTTTAAACCTCAAGAATCTTACAAAGTATTCACATGAGTAATTTATAGCTCAGAAAAAGTAACTTTCAAAAACAAAATCCCATAACTCCATATGTATATGTATTTTGTGTTGTATATGTGTACACACACACACATTTATATATATATATATAAAACTATTAACAGGATTGACCTGGGAGCACAACTGAAATGGAAAGGGGACCTTTTATTTTTTAATTTTTTTCCTTCTACATTATAGTTCTCTACACTTGGATTTTCTTCAGTTACATAATTGTTGTAGTTAAAAATATAACATTTCTTAAACAAAAGTTGTCCAATGTCATAGAGCTAGTGAATGATAGAGTGGTGAAATCTGGCTCCATCTGACTCCAAAGCCCAGTCTCCACACACAGTATGCTCATGTTTTATTTTGACAAGGCTAGCTACGTACATATCACACCAACCATGAAAATGTCTAGCTGAGCTTTTTATCTCCTAATAGTCTAAGAGGCAAATCATAGTAACATATTGAAATGAAATGTTTTAATACCATGGATCAAACAAGGAAAGCAACAGTCACTATGGTAAACAGCTTTGATGCTGTGCACAAGACCAGAGGTATAACTGGTTACAGTGACACATGTTGGCTGTTTCATTATACTGACCAATTGTTTCAATCAGGTATCAGCTTGAGTCAAAGATGTTTGACCAGAGTATGAAAACACGGAACCTAGATTTTAAGTTCTGCCACTAGATCACCTACCTTTTGCTTGTAGACATGAAAACCACCAGCAATGACAAGAAGCTCCAATTTTCTCCTTATTCTTTAAATCATGCTATCTAGCCATCATGTATTACCCCATCTAATACTCAAGATAACCCTATGAGGTAAGTAGAATAAGTACTATTTCCTGCATTTAAGAAGCAAATCCATACTCATCTAGTTGTATATATTATGTACAGTTTTTTGTATGTCAAAAGAATAAGAAAGTAAACCATCTGTAAAATGGGGAAAAGTTCAGTAGAGTCCCTTGGTTGCTTCATAGGGATGTGCTTAAGAAAGTGACTGCCATTACCTGTACATTATCTGACACTTGTTCATGCTGCCAAGGACCTGGGGACTGATGAGCCTTCTCTGCTGAGCCTTATAAAATGATGATGAGCTACTTTTTTTCTTGCTAGTGCATGCGATAGATACATTGAGGTCTCTTCCCCTATGAGAACAAGTGAGATGAACTGGTGCTTCTTTCAATGTCAGCTTGCCAAAGGCAAGGTTGATGATGAAAATTCATGCATTTTCTCTAGCAAGATGTCTTTAGGTTGTTTTTCAAGACACAACTGTGCCAGAAGTCAACAGCCCATCCTCCCAGAAGCCACAAAAACAAAATCAGTTAACACAGGGAACCAAGGCAAGCCATGCCTTTATCATTATAATTTATGTTAAAATTTTTTTCTACTTTCCCCTTCTAAAAATGTTTTTCTAAGCCAGGTATATTTTTAGCCATTTAAAGATGACTATTATTTTCTATATAATCTACCCTCTCCCACCTGATTTTACAATATTGTTTACCTCTGAAAGATGCAATGCCAGCTTCAGACCTGCTTTTTTTGCTTCTAAAAGAGGTTCCAAGAAATCTTGTGCTTGTCCTGCCTTAAAGATAAAAGATCAAATGAGCATGCATAAGAACTTTGGGCAAACTGAGGGCCTGGGTACTCTGTCCCAATAAACAAATAAAATAATGGCAGAAAAAAATGGCACAATGATTCATTTGTATATTTTGTTTATAAAGTACCTACAATGTGCTAGACACTGTGGGGAATGCAAAGCTGGCAAAGATACAGTCCCTGTCTTCAAAAATCTTAAGTAACAGTGATCTTGAGGCCAATTAGCTAAGCTAAATATAGCAGTCACCAAATTTTATTTTTGGAAGGTTACCTAAGTGCTAACAAACAGAATTCCCCACCCCTCAGGACATATGACAATGTCTAGAAACATCAGGTGTCACAACTGGGAGGTGCTACTGGCATCTAGTGGATAGAGGCCAGAAATGCTACTAAAGACCCTACAATGCACAGGATAGTCCCCATAACAGAATTACTTGGCCCAAAATGCCAATAGTGCCACAGGTGAGATACCCTCCTTGAATCTGACATTCAAGAAACTCTAGGCCAGCCTTTCTCAACTGGGGATTCTACCAGATAAGCTCTAGCCTTAGACATTCATTTTATATAATGAATTAACTTCTATGTAGAATAGAACTAGCTTGTATACCATCTTTAGAGGAATGAAGAAAATAATATTGTCATGTAAATCTTTTTATCTTTTTTATGGAGCTTATTCTTTCACAGAACCCTGGTTGAGAACAGTTGCTGTAGACATTCTGGTCATCCGAGAGTCTACTGGATCTCTGGAGAATGCAAGACGCTTCAAGTCAATCCTTATCCCACAAACTAACCCGACCTTTTAGAAATAAAATATATTCAGGAAAAATAACTTACCGTAGGGTCTCCACTGAGGTCAAGGCCAAGAACTGTATCTTCAGTAGAAAGGAAGAATTCTTCAGCAAGTTTAACAGTCTCCTTGGCTACTGAAGGGCCACCTCTTCTGTCAACTGATATCAAGTATCTTTCATAAAAGAAACAGTTGAGAATGAATATGATAAATAAGACAACTCGAGTATGGCCAGAGAGCAATGACAGGTACATCTTACTACAGGAAGTATATAGCCTAACTGACACATCTTACTTTGCTAGAAAGAATGAGATGTAAATTCCTAAATAGCACCAAATAGCTAGTTAAGTGTTCAAATTTCTAACTGATGATTTTTTGTTCAATTATTTAACAGTTTGTTCAATTCTGCTACTTGATGCATTTCCAATGTCTTTTGATCTATAGCCATTCCCTTTACCCACCTTCCCCAAATCTTTTCTTAAATTTATTTGTTGAAGAAACCAGGTCATTTGTCCTATGAAGTTTCCCACAGTCTAGATTTTGCTAATTCAATCTCTGTGTTACTAGCATGTTCTCCTGTCTCTTGTATTTCCTATAAACTGGACATTGGATCTAATCTAGAGGCTTAATCAGATCAAATTTTTTGGCAAGAGTATTTCATAGGTGGTATTGTGTTCTTTCATCAGGGGGCTTAGATCCATTATTCATTCCATAAGGATGACAAAATTGGTAATATTCTAACATGTGTCCAATAGCTGATACATATATTGGCTGGAATTCTACAAGGAATCTAATACTCAGAGAACCTCTGTTAATATTGTATAATTTTCCTCCAGCACTCGTTATTTACTCACAAAATAAAGAAATTTCTCCAGCATTTATTTATTTACAGAATTTGGATCAACTATCTGTAAATTCCATGTCTTTTTTTCTTTCACTTAATTTCTCCTGCCATTACATAATGTTACAAAAAATGTGAATCATGGACATAACAATGTAATTGTGTTCTGATTGCTGGACATTTTAGGATACTTTCTATCTTTTGTTATAAATAACACTACAATGAAGAATCTTACACAGAAATCAATCTATTTCCTTAGGATATATGTTTAGAAGATAATTACTGGGTCAGAGGGGAAAATATTTTCATAGATCTTAATACATATTGCTCTTTGGAGAGGTTTTATTAATTATATATAATCACCAACAGTGTAAGTTAACAAACACTGGTTATTACCCTTTTTCTGGTTGGGGGGAGGTTGAAATGGTACTATAATATTTCTTTTTAAAATTATCTGACTATAATAGCCATTTGTATGTCTTTTCTCAATTTTTGTCTTTTGGGTAGTTTTTTAAATTGGGGAATTACTCTAGTTAAGATTAATTCTTAGAGATTTAACAGCCAGAAATGCTACAGCTAGCATTCTTCCTTGGAGGACCTATTGAGACCTGCCAGTTCTATTCTAAGTACTGGATGTGTAGCGGTGAATCAAAAGACAAGATTTGTGGCCTCACTAAATTTACACCCTAGTGGATGAGCATATATACACAAATAAAACACGACAGTTTCTGATCTGGTTAAAAAGAATTCCATAAAGGAAATAAGTGGGGTGACTAGAGGATCTGGGGAAGACACTTTAGATAAAGCTGTAATGGAAGGCCCTCTTGAGGAAGTGACAGCTGAATTGAGACCTGAATAATGAGAAGATGCCAGCCATCCAAGGATGTGGTTGGTGAAAGTGTGTTCTAAGCATGTTACAGGAAATACAAAGGTGCTGAGGTGGGATAGCCTCGGACTATCTGGGGAACAGAGACACCAGTGCATAACAAGTGACAAGGGTTCCATATGAGGCTGTAAGAGAGGCAGATCATGTTGGGCCTTGGAGGCTGCAGTAAGAAGTCTAGATTTTAGGACTTCGGCCAATATGGAGGCATAAGTGGAAACATTGTGCCTCCTTGCACAACCAAGTTTAAAGACAACAAAGTTTTAGTAACAAAAACAACCAAAACACAGAAAATTGAACTGTACGGAAGTCCGACAACAACGAACCACTCAGCCAGACTGGTAAGAGGGGCGGAGCCAGCAGCTGGCAGAACAGACTGTCCGAGGCACGCAGGTGGTGGTTGGTTGGCAGATACCGGGCGTGGGTGGCAATGGGCGGACCCAGTGAGGGCGGAAGGCAGTACGCTGACCCCGGTCACACAGTCACGCACAGATAAACCAAGAGAAGGAACGAGCAGTGAGACAGGCCACACAGGCCCTAGCAATGGGAAGTAGCAGAGGGGACTGTCATTTCCCCCCTCTGACCCTGCCCCCACATACAGCATCACAAACCAGCGACCTGGGTGGCTCCGCCCCTCACTAGTAACAGGCGCAAACAGACCAAAACATTATGGCTCAAGAACAGCTCAAAGCCCCAGAGCCAATAATTCTAAGCAACCAAGAAACAGCCAACCTATCAGATACACAGTTCAAAACACTGGTAATCAGGATGCTCACAGAACTGGTTGATTTTAGTCACAAATTAGATGAAAAAAAGAAGGCTAAACTAAGTGAAATAAAGGGAAATGCGCAGGAAACCAATAGTGATGGAAAGGAAACTGGGACTCAAATCAATCGAGTGGACCAGAAGGAAGAAAAAAATGACCAAACAGAAAACAATGAAGAAACAAGAATTCAGAAAAATGAGGAGAGGCTCAGGAACCTCCAGGACATCTTTAAACACTCCAACATCTGAATTATAGGGGTACCAGAAGGGGAAGAGAAACACCACAAGTGGAAAACTTATTTGAACAAATAATAAAGGAGAACTTTCCCAACCTGGCAAAGGCAATAGACTTCCAGGAAAGGCAGGAAGCTCGGAGAGTCCCAAAGAAGTTGGACCCAAGAAGGAACACACCAAGGCACATCATCATTACATTAGCCAAGATTCAAATGAAGGAGAGAATCCTAGAAGCAGCAAGAGATAAGGGGACAGTCACCTACAAAGGACTTCCCATCAGACTGTCAGCTGATTTCTCAAAAGAGACCTTACAGGCAAGAAGGGGCTGGAAAGAAGTATTCCAAGTCATGAAATCCAAAGACCCACATCCAAGATTGCTCTGTCCAGCAAAGCTTTCATTTAGAATGGAAGGGCAGATAAAGTGCTTCTCAGATAAGGTCAAATTCAAGGAGTTCATCATCACCAAGCCCTGATATGAAATGTTAAAGGGACTTATCTAAGGAAAAGATAAAAAAGATGAACAGTGAAAGCACAGCAAACTCACAGTTATTAAGAACCACACCTAAAACAAAAGCAATCTAAGAGGACAGTTAGATCTGGAGCAGAACCATAGAAATGGAGATCACATGGAGGGTTAGCAACAGGGGAGTGGGAGGAGAAGGGGGGAGAAGTTACAGAGAATAAGTAGCATAGACATTAGGTAGAAAATAGGGGGAGGGCAAGAATAGTATGGGAAATACAGAATCTAAAGAACTTGTGATACATGGACATAAACTAAAGGGGGGGATGGTGGGGGAGGGCTGTGCAGGGTGGAGGGGAATGAAGGGGGGAAATGGGACAACTGTAATGGCATAATCAATAAAATATATATTTTTTAAAAAGTCTAGATTTTAGCTGAAGAGCAATGGAAAGCCATCATACTTCACTATAGCAGTAGTACTCAGAATTTTATTGCCATCTGAATAAATTGAGAACTACATTCTCGACATTAAGGAACAGGGTTCTTGACTCTGTTTTTATGTTATAAGATAAAAATCAGTTGTTGGTTGATTTATAAAAATCCATTATACCCACAGTCGAAGTAGTAAAATTTTCACACATTCTGGATTTTTATTTTTTAATATATTTTATTAATTATGCCATTACACTTGTTCTATTTTCCCCCTTCATTCTCCTCCACCCTGCACACCCCTACCCCACCATTTCCCCCCTTTAGTTTATGACCACGTGTCTCAAGTTCTTTAGATTCTATATTTCCCATACTATTCTTGCCCTCCCCCCATCTATTTTCTACCTACTGTCTATGCTACTTATTTTCTGTACCTTCTCCCCCCTTCTCCTCCTTCCACTCCCCTGTTGCTAACCCTCCATGTGATCATTTCTATGGTTCTGCTCCTGATCTAGCTTAGTTTGCTTTTGTCCTCTTAGTTTGCTTTTGTTTTAGGTGTGGTTCTTAATAACTGTGACTTTGCTGTCCTTTCACTGTTCATATTTTTTATCTTCTTTTTCTTAGATAAGTCCTTTTAACATTTCATATAATAAGGGCTTGGTGATGATGAACTCCTTGAATTTGACCTTATCTGAGAAGCACTTTATCTGCCCTTCCATTCTAAATGAAAGCTTTGCTGGACAGAGCAATCTTGGATGTGGGTCTTTGGATTTCATGACTTGAAATACTTCTTTCCAGCCCCTTCTTGCCTGTAAGGTCTCTTTTGAGAAATCAGCTGACAGTCTGATGGGAAGTCCTTTGTAGGTGACTGTCCCCTTATCTCTTGCTGCTTCTAGGATTCTCTCCTTCATTTGAATCTTGGCTAATATAATGATGATGTGGCTTGGTGTGTCCCTTCTTGGGTCCAACTTCTTTGGGACTCTCTGAGCTTCCTGGATTTCCTGGAAATCTATTGCCTTTGCCAGGTTGGGAAAGTTCTCCTCTATTATTTGTTCAAATAAGTGTTCCACTGTGGCTGTTTCTCTTCCCCTTCTGGTACCCCTATAATTTGTATGGAGTGTTTAAAGATGTCCTGGAGGTTCCTGAGCCTCTCCTCATTTTTCTGAATTCTTGTTTCTTCATTGTTTTCTGTTTGGTCATTTTTTTCTTCCTTCTGGTCCACTCGATTGATTTGAGTCCCAGTTTCCTTTCCATCACTATTGGTTTCCTGTGCATTTCCCTTCATTTCACTTAGTTTAGCCTTCTTTTTTTCATCTAATTTGTGACGAAAATCAACCAGTTCTGTGAGCATCCTTATCACCAGTGTTTTGAACTGTGCATCTGAAAGTTTGGCTATTTCTTCATCACTTAGATTTATTGGCTCTGGGGCTCTGAGTTGTTCTTGAGCCATATTTTTATCTGTTTGTGCCTGTTACATATGAGGAAAGGCGTCTTAGGTGTTCACCAGGGCGGGGCCACCCAGGTCACTGGTTTGTGACACTATGTGGGGGTGGCGGGGTTAGAGAGGGACAATGGCGGTTCCCTTTGCTGCTTCCGGCCCCTGGGGCCTATGCGGTCTGTGTCACTGCTTGCTCCTTCACCAGTTTATCTGCGCGTGAATGTGTGACTGCGATCAGCCCTCAGTGGGTGCACCACCTTGTGCCCTCAGTGGGTCCACCCGCTTCTCCACACCTGAGATCCGCCCACAGCTGCTGGCGCTCCTGTGTCACACACCCAGATCAGTCCGGTGGATCTTTCCTGCCAGACCCGCTCTGCTGCTGGCTGTGCCCCTCTTACCGCTTTGGCTGAAGGGTTCGTTGTTGTCAGACTTCTGTGTAGTTCAATTTTCTGTGGTTTGGCTGCGTTTTTTTGCTAAAACTTTGTTGTTTTTAAAGTTGGTTGTGTGAGAAGGTGCAGTGCTTTCACCTACATCTCCATCTTGGCAGAAGTCCCATTCTGGATTTTTAAATGGTGACCACTAAAGTACAATGCTTCTTACCTGACATCAATGTCTAAGTTTTCTTGTTTAGACTGTTTTATACCCTCAAGTACAGATTCCACATAAGTTTTTTTAGTCATTCCTGAAAAGGACACAAAGAAAACATATGTAAGGAAATCATCGACTATTTCATCCTTCGACATTAGTAGCATCCCTATGTGAACAATTACATTTTCACTTTTGTTGAGACAAAAGCACAATTAAATATGAATTAAAACCTGGCCCTTATTGATGTATTTTTAGTAAATACTAATTGAACTTTAATAAATTTGGGAAAAAATGAAGTACTAAATAAATAAAATTTTTAAAATACATACAAAATACAAGCCCATTTAAAAATTATTCTGAGATTCAACAGATACAAAATTACTCTCACAAATTTGTATGAAAAAATTTAAGTGTTCTGACAAACAACCAGTGCTATTCTTAAGCCTGTCCTTAAAAAAACAAACAAAAAGTATATTTCTCTAGTAGCAGAGTCTTTTCCTGCTGGCCCAGAAAAAAATCTTGAGTTCTTTTCTCCTTTGCTCAGGCTCAGTGTTTCTCATCTAGGCCACTAGAGATGTTCTTAAAGTTTGGGTACTTAAGTTCTCTTATGGGGGGCTCTGAAAGAGCACTCTCCAGAACAACCCCCCTAAATACTCTCATATGCTTATTTTTGGTGGAAAGTCTGTAGTAAAGCTCAGGAAATTATAAAGAAGAAAAATAAAAATAACACATAATCCTACCACTAAAAGATAACCACTCTCTTTGCGCATATATATATATATATATATATTACTAAATGGGATGCTACTAGGTATACATGTATTTTGTTCAGTCATTTAACACTATCTTATGAGCATATCTCCATGTCATTAGTGTCTTTGCAACTATTTTTCATGGTTGCCTAATATTCCACTAACCTGTAACAATTCCCCTATTGTTACATACTTAGATTAACACCTCCCTTTTGAATCCCTATTTAAAGAGCAAATCAGCTCTAATAATTGGCAGGTTTCTTCTATCCTACCCTTTCAATACCCTTACCATCATAACTTGGAACTGATTCTGCATTTTAAAAATGTGAGATAAAAATCTGCTGCTGCCCTGGCTGGTGTGGCTTAGTAGATTGAGTGCTGACCTATGAACCAAAGTGTTGCAGGTTCCATTTCTGGTCAGGTCACATGCCTGGGTTGCCGGACAGGTCCCCAGTAGGGGGAGCACAGGAGGCAGCCACCACCACGCATTGATGTTTCTTTCTCCCTCCCCCTCCCTCTGGAAACGAATAAATGAAAATCTTTTAAAAATAAAAAAATAAAAAATAAACTTCTGCTTGTCCCAGTTGTCAACACTTACTTTATTATATGAAGTTGCAAAAATTGTACCCCCTGAATGGTTACCAAGCTACACATGTCAGGGTGCAAGAGGACCTGGTAGGATCTCTTCAGGTCACAAAGTGCTAATAGGGACCTGAAGATACTATATAATATCTCTTAATGCTACCCTTATGGAAAGAGGGTCCCAGGAAATTTCTCCAGACCACATCCAGATCCGCTTATTTCCATCCAGAGAGGTTCCACCACATCACGGCTTGCTTCTGGCCTAAGATACTGTTTGTCCCTGAGAAGTAACTGAATAACCTCATTTTAGTGACTGTCATAAAACATGATTCTACATCCACTCAGTGGCATCGTCTTGCAAGTGCTCTTGATGCAGAGAGCAAGACTTAGTCTATGTTTAAGACAGTGCAACTATAAGAAGCATATGTCCTTTTCTCATTGTGAAAAAAGAAAGAAAAACAAATGAAAATTTTGCAGGCCTTTATTTCCCTTAAAAAAATAATACCTGACTTAATGTTTTAAAAAATAACTTATTCATTTTAAAAAATACTTTTAAAAAATGTTATTTATTTTTAGAGAGAGGGGAAAGAGGGAGACAAACATCTATGTGAGAGAAACATAAATTAGTTGCCTCTTACATACATCCGAACTGGGAACTGAACCTGCAACCCAGGCATGTGCCTTGACCAGGAATCAAACCAGCAACCATTCCCATTGCGGGACAATGCTCAACAGAGCCACACCAATCAGGGGATAATAACTCACTCATTAATAATGTACATCATAAGATTTGGAAAGTTGATTCTATTTTTACAATAGAGTAAAAGTAAGTGCTTCGTATTCTCAACTTGTAAACACATGAATGACAGAGCACACAGAGAAGAATACACTGGCTGAGAAAAAAACTATACTCCACCTGTAGTATTTTCTATTCTAGGTGTGCTCCTTAGTTCCAGGTACTTGACACCATCATCTGCAAATTCTTTAATGACATCTTTTGTGACCTGAAAAATAAAAACAATGTACATATTATTGATAATATAGGTGTAAGGGTCCCAATGAAAGTGCCAAATGCTACATCTTTATTTCATTAATTAAATTTGACTTGCAAGTCATGTAATTAAGATTATCTATTTTGTCACACTCCTGGTGGAGATCACAACATAAATGCAAAATTTCCAATAGCTTCCATCACCCTCTATCCTTTCTACATTAAGTTCAAATCTGGGTGGGTGGGTGGGCTGGGATGGGAGTAAAAGACAGAAAACTGTACCTGAACAATTAAAAAATAAATTAAAAAAATTTAAGTATCCAAAAAAAATAAATAAAATCTGCACACCATTCACGCTTTTTGTTTTTTCCCTCCTTTTAACCATTTTTCTATTTCCTAGTGTTCATAACAACAATTTGATAAAACAGAAATGAAGCACAACTATAACCAGTTAAAACCATCTATGAGTGTATAATACTAAATAGGCACATACAGAAATGAACTGCTAGTATCAGGCATTATTGATGTACCATTTGGAGTCATGGCTTAAGGGTCTTATTCAAGTTATTTAGGAATAAGTTGTATTTTTCAACAAATTCTTTAGGCTGGGTTAAATTTTCCTTAGAGGTACTTAGGAAAATTCCTTCTAGGCAAAGAAAATAGGTAATAAATTTAAGTCAAACTATATGCAATTTAGCACAAATCTCAACAATTCAAAAATTACTAAATGACCAGGGCAAATTATATGTAAAGGCTGAAGGTATGTTTTCCTTCTCTGACATCAATCCTAAAAAAATACCAAATCTAAATGAAAAAATACCAGGTTGGGGGTACTGTAATAACATGCCCTAGTTAGTCCTTACAGTTGGTATCCTAACCTTAACCTGCTTTGATTACATGCCCATTGGCAGGCAAGTGAACAAGGGGTTGGCTGGTTGTGCAGACAGTGCCTAATGGGGTGGTACTACCTTAGTGGATTCACTGCAATCCAAAGTCTGAGTCTCATCTTTTTTTAAATTAAAACCAAAAAGGAATTTATAATAATATAAATATGATGGGTGGCTCAGATTCACCAGGAGGCCTAGAGAATCACCCTCAGAGACTGCACACCTTACAACAATACAACAACACTACACCAGGACAGATACCACTGCTTCCTCCACCACGGAGCATAAGCCTGCACCTTCCACATACTAAACCCAATGGCAATGCTTCTCTAGGAACTCTACACTGCTGCTTTCACCCCCATCAGACTGTGGGCCTCATTTCTACAGGCTGAGGAACTTCCATCTTGCCATTGCTCCAGAGACCCCAACTCATTCTACCCCAGCTGACAGGAGACTAATGCAGAAACCTATTTGTTAACGTGTGCACTGACAAGGAGGGTGTGAAGTGGCTGTTCTCAGCAACTTCAGTGATCATATCTATTATTCTGGGCACCCCTAATCTTGGTAGTGAGATACCTGTGAAACCAAATGAGTAACAGAAGGTTGCCGGCAAGTATGGAATGAGAACAATGGAAGATTTACCTAGGCCACAGTGAGGCCTGTGGAATGATCCCTACCCCATGTCCAAGAATACTTCCTTGGGGTCCACATCTGTGTATCTCAAATTCAGCCCTGACTAAAAACTCCTCAGGTGCAGGGACCGTCAAATCTCCCAGCCTCTTGCACTGGAACACTATGGGCACTCAGTTAACTTTTGCTGAACTAAACTTTTAGACTCAACTCTCCTCCAAAAGGTGATTTACTGTTTATTGTGAGGATCAATCTCAACCAAGGAGGAAAATTCTTTCTTGACCAGTCAAAAGTTAATTCTTCAGAAAAACAAGTTATACTTGTTACTTTGCATTTTTTCTAATGATTAAGAACACTCTCAGGATTTTGTTTCTCTTTATTTATAAAGAGGACATTTTAAAATGCCATCCAAGTCAGATCAGTGATACAGAAGCCAGTCTTCCATACCATGGAGACTCTAGTCTCATGGAGCTTCAGATAAGAGAACACAGTGGTGTCCTTTAGTCCTTCATTCTCAAAGAAAGGAACTATTTCCCTAGGGAGTAATAATGCAATTTCTAGGCACTTCTTGAACTTCCCGTCTCTATAACATCCACCTAGGCAGTGAGAAATCTTCCAAGCAATAGGGATAAAACCTTATCAAAGTCATTTCTATCTGTGGTTAACTATTATGGAAAATAGGACCAGATTTTCTCCTCCATGCTATCCTCCATCCAACAGAAGATACTCATCTAGTTCTATCCTCATATCTTTTACAATGAACATAGCATTTTGAAACTAGCTCTTAGGCAAATGTCTTACATTAGTTTTGGAAAGAGTTGCCATAAAAAAAAGCAGAAAACATTTTTTATCAGATGATGCAACAAGAGAAGAGCATATATTACTTAATTTTTAACTTGTCTAAAAATTGCTTTGTTTCTTACCATTAAAATATCTTCAGGGCTAGTAGTAAGTTGATGAATAATCTGAAACATCTGGAAACATCTATAACATTAATGAAAAGCTTTAAAATACTCTAGTCATCAAAAGCTCAAGATGAACTCAATAAGTAATTAAATCAATAGATTTTTAGGCTAATAGTAATTATATATTTATTTTTAAAGGCTACAGAACAGCTTCTTTGAAAATTACATTGATCTGAAAAGAAAATGGCTAAAAATAAAACATTACTGATATTTTTAAGTGGGAAATACTAGTTTCCCTTTTCTACCACACCAGCCCCTCCCCACCCCCTGCTAGTAGGAATAGAGGAAAAAATCAATAATCCTATACTTTCAAGTCTAAATAATATTCCAATATGTGTAACTTTACAAACAATATAAATCGTTCAAAATATTGTCAACAACCTGACAGCTGGAAAAATGCTATATGTCAAGTTATACTCTCCATACCAAATAGATACCCTATTCTTGTAACTACTAAAATCTGAATTCTTACACACTATTTACAATAATAGAGAAAAAAAGAAGTGTGTCCAGAATCTGCCCAAACTCACTCTTCTAAAGTTCTTTTCTTTCCCTTATCAATCATAGTCATCTGATCATGGATTTTAAGACCTGGTTTCTTAGCTATTAATTTCCTCATGGTATTAGAACTGATGGATCCATTCAAGTGGGCATGAAGTTCCTAAAAACAAAAGAATACAATCAGTGCAACATACCAAGATTCAACTAGATTCATAGCATTATACCAGGTACTTGATATTTACAGTCTGTAGTAGGCAAGTTGCCCATTACATTTAACTATATAACTTTTGAAGTGTACAAATTATACCTATAAAATTTACTTTTCTTTTGTGAAAAGAAACAACACAGAAGACATTATAATTGGCAACCACTCTAGAATTCTGTGATTGAATTCTCACCACTTTAGGTAATTCTGAGTAAAAGGTTCTCTTCCATTGCTGCTGGTCTTCTGCCTCCATCAAGATTTAACAGAATAAAAAGGTCTTTCTCCAAATGCTCTTATTGGTATGAAGAATACAATATATTTCAGTCAGCAAAGTTTTTGGTCTTGAATTCCTTCAGATTGCTTTATTTTCACACATTTTTATAAGATTAGCTGTAAATGTTGCTCTGGACTCAGCTTCGCCTGTTCAAACAAATGTGAACATTTTCATATGTTGACATAAAAGCAAAGAAACAGGATTTTGCTACTTTATTCCTTAAAAGACAAAAGCCCCTCCAAAGTTAATTTAAATTAGCTAATAATATGAACTAGAAATAAGAAACATAAGACGTGGATTACAATCTGAAATGTTGGGTGTAGTCCTTACCAATTAGCATTTTCTAGAAAACTACTTTTTAAACTATAAATTTATAAGGCCTATAAAAAAGTTTACATTTTTAAATTGTTTAAAATATATAAAGGAAGATCAGCAGCATTGGCTTTGGTGGACCTGTTAGTCCTTTTACTATTATTGCAGTTAGTAGCCATGTGGCCTTTGTCACTTAACCTCACAGCTTCAGTTTCCTTATTTGTAAAAAATTGATAAAAATGTAGAATAGCTGTGATGATTGATACAGTAATTTAAATTCCCCTCTTGTATGCTCCCATATAATCCAGTGACTACCTTTCACTCAATGCTTTATCATATTGTCTCTCAATCACTGACTTACTTGTCTTTCTCCTTCACCAGACTATAAGCTTTCTAAGGACAGGGACTATATGTAGTACCTAACACAGTGCCTAGCACATTACAGATGATAAATAAATCCTAATTTTTTATTGCCTCCCTTGCCTCCAAAGATGGCTTATACATTAAGATAAAAATTTCAAATGAAATTTAGTGATTTTTCAAAGTAGTCACCTTGACTCTCTGGGTTGTCATATATTAATGATGATGATGTTCATAATAATAGCAGTTTCAATTCAGAGCCTATGGGATATGTGACAAGCACTTTTAATACTAATATAATCTTTAATCTCACTGATAACCTTACAAAATAAATATTACACTTATTACCACATTACAAAACAATAAATTGACACTGAAAGGGATTAAATAATTTACTGAGATATTAAAATAGGCAATGAAGAAAATAGTTTGTGCAGGACTAGGCAGAGCCATGAGATAAACATAGAAAGGCCAACTCAGTATAAGTTAAAAGTGGCATTTCAATGGAATACCACATTGTAAGTGCTTAGTAAGTAGTAATGAATGAAAAATATGGAATGTTTAATCAATACATTTAATATCTCTACCAAAGTACATAAAACATGTCATTAAAACATACTTTATTGCCCTGGCTGGCGTAGCTCAGTGGATTGAGCGCGGGCCTGCGAACCAGACAATCACGGTTCGATTCCCAGTCAGGGCACATACTGGGGTTGCAGGCCGGTTCCCTGCAGGCCAATTCCCAGCAGGGGATGCATGAAAGGCAACCATACATTGATGTTTCTCTCCCTCTCTCCTTCCCTTCCCCTCTAAAGATAAATAAATAAAATCTTAAAAAAAAAAAAAAACATACTTTATCTTACATAGGTAAGTCAATGTACCATAAACTGAGTTACAAAGTAAATGGTAATCAAAACTCTCAAAATTATTACTTAGAAATTGATTTTTAAAGTTCATGAAAGACTTAACTTGTAAAAATACCTAAATTCTGTAAAATTTAGGTATTAGAAGAATAATACCTAAAAATGGTGATGATCTGAGTAAAAGTTTTCGTATGACCAGAACTTGGTATGGCTTTTTTGGAAAGCAATTTGGCTACATTTATCAACATACACAAACCCATATACTTATTGATCCAGGAATTCTATTGTTAAGAATTTATCTTTTATAGGATATGTACAAATACATTTCTTGTGGCATTATTTATAATAGCAAAAAACTGGAAAGAACCTAAATGCCCATTAGTGGGGTACTAGCTAAATTAATTGTATGTCCACCCAACTGACTATATGAAAACATTTCTATGATATAATATTACTTCCAAAAAGTAATTTGTAAAACATATGGTTTATAAAGATGACATAAGTAAAGCATGTATGTATGTATACATATACACTGCCTTATATATTTATATCTTTAGTCCTAAAGCACATACGAAAGAGCAAATAGAAAACTGTTACCACTAGAATGTGGGTTGAAAATGGCAGAGGTCAGGAGAGAATTTTTACTTTATGTCATATAGTTTCATGCAATTTTAAGGTTTAACAATAAGCATATAATACTTAATTATTTTTGCAATACTTTTAATAAATCACAAATTTCAATAACTAATAAATTTAGATAATTTACTTAATTTAGTAAATTAAATTTTAAATATTCAACAAATTAATCATTTACAATAAGTTTATAAAGTAATTCTTTAAAATCTTGCAAAACAGCTTTATTATTATGAATTGTAAGAGGAAAGAACTTTTATGGTTAGACAACAGAATGCTATCCTAAAAAAGCCAGTTAAAGCCCTGGCCAGGTAGCTCAGTTGGTTAGAGCATTGTCTTGATTATCAACAAGGTTGTGAGTTCTTGATTCCTGGTCAGGACACATACAAGAATCCACCAGTGAATGCACAAGTAAGTGGAACAACAAATTGATGTTTCTCTCTCACCCTCCATCCACCTTCCTTTCTCTCTCAAAAATCAGTAATTTTTTTTTAAAGAGCACTTAAGATATTTTATATAGTAGGCTGGTAACATCCTACTCTAGTATCCTGATCTTACTTTGTGCCACATTCAAATCCTCCTCCAGCACTGGCTATGATGTTACATAGCCTATGGAAATTTGAAAGCCACCAAAACAAGCACAAGCTTTGCACATTTGAAAATAATTGTTTCACTGATCCTTGCCTAAGATACTACTAGTAATAGTACCACTCCTTGGCAAATTCAACTTTCCTAGGCTGGATTTTGCATGGGCCAGAAGAAGCTGTGGTGAGAGTGAGGAACTGATAGGCAACACACTGAGATAAGATCTTTCTGCATTTGTACTAATAGTTTATAAAGTTAGAGAAGGACCAGAGCCAAGTCGCCTGTGTCAAGAGTACTTTTTTCATGACAATAAATAGAGGGGGTTCAGAATAATAAACATATTTGTTGGTATTTATTAAGCACTTCTATGAACCAAGCACTATGCTAAGTGTCTGTCTGAATCTTCACAACAACCTCTATGGTAGTATTACTCCAATTTTACATAAGAACAAACAGATTTAAAAAATAATAATCAGAAAACCATCATAAGATAACCAAATCGTAAATTTCTCTCTATTCTCTTTCTTCTTGAATCACTTTTCTTGATTTCTGCTCTTTATCAGAAAATATTTCTAACATATACATATCGTATCATATATTTTACAAACATCATTAAAATATCGTTTCTATAGCTCTCTATATTTTTTTCAAAGTCCTACAACAATTTTTTTTCTCCTCTTTGGTCCTCAATCAACTTGAGACAACTCACAAAGCAGACTTAGTCTCCTCATTTTAGAGATGAGGATCCCTCAGCTCAACATGCTCAGGGGAGTCCTTCTCCCATTCTCTTCAAAGGCAATTACAAACTCTTCAAGGTTTCCCCTACACCCAACTGCTTCACACTGAAGTGACAACCCAGACACCAGTTTTACAGAGACAATAGGAGTCATCAGGCATGAATTCCCTCTATTTCTCTCTCCCCTCCCCCACACTTACACTTATCTTTATCTACACCCCTTCTCCCCTCAGGAGTCAGAGAAAAAGGATTCATTTTCCTAGACTAATTTGTGCCCAAACCCCATTCCTTCCCACATACCTTAATTCATTACTCCACTAGTAAATCTCACTTTTCTGTTCCTCCAACCTCTCTCTCCCCTGGCTTATTCTACTCAGGCGACTAACATGCAAGTATAGTGTTTGCTTCCACCTAAAAAAAAAACAAACCCAAACTTTCTTTTACTCCACCTTGCTCTTTAACTACTTGCTCTTTCTCTCCTTTTCTTCTGAACTAAGGTCCTTGAAAGTGTAATTTAGAATGGCTGCCTCCATTTACTTATCTCCCATTCACTATAACACGGCTTCTGCCCTTACTGCTCTATGGAAACTGCTCTCCCTAAGGTTATTAATAGGTCTTAAACACTAAACCTAAATGAAACTTTTCAACTAACGAAACTTTACCCTGACTCAAACTTTTGAGTTTCAGTATTCAAATTCAAACTGGCTGGACTTCAAAACACATTCTTTTAACCATTACGCTCTACTGTTTCTAGGTAGCCACACCTATGCATCTCAGCCCCCAGTTTCCAAATCCTAATTAATAAATTATAAGTTTCCTTAATATCTCTGGAGGCAGTTCTCTACTGGTGATGACACCCAAACACCCAATTCAGAAATTTGATAGTTATTTTAAACCCCCAACAAGACTCAAACCATATCATGAGGGAATAATCATCTCTCTTCCATGATTCCCTCACTACCCTAGAATCACAGAACTTTGAAAGTGGAGGGGAATGTCATTTTATAGCAGAGAAACTGGATCTGAGTAGTTTACTTACTGTCAACCTAGCACAGAGCCAGAAATACAGGAAATAGTACATATTTGTGGGGAAAAACTTATTGGGTGAATCACAACCTCTGTAAAGGTTTGTTCATTTTGCACCTGGCCTCACTGACTTGTTTTCAGACTCAAATGGGATCTCTTTGGTAACAATTGCAGGGGTGTCCAACTATTGGCCCAAGATGGCTCTGAATGCAGAACAACACAAAATTGTGAATTTACTTAAATCTCCTTTTTTGTTCATCAGTTTTCATTAGTGCTTCTGTATTTAATGTGTGACCCAGAGACGTCAAAAGGCTGGACACTCCTGGATTAAAGCATTAAATAAATTAGCACTAGTAGTTAGCATCTGAGGAACCACCCCTTCTTCTATTTGCCCACCAACGTCAGTGGTGTAGATCTTTCCCTCCAAATTCCGGTTGTCAGTCCCCAAAGACTCACCTTTCAAAAATTTGTCAACAGTTGAATCAGCTATGAGAACTTTGATAAAAATTTTCTTTCATATGGAAAAGCTTGTAGAAAAGCGACAACACGTGCTTCCCTGACACGGTTAACGTGTCCACGATAAACCGTAACATGAAGTCTTCCCGCGAAAACGCAGTCCCAGAGAATCAAATAATCAACTACTGCCAAATTTTAGCATAAACTACACCCTCTATTCAGATTAGGGAGGCCCGCTCTACCCGGAAGTGACGCATCTAGTACGCGGAAGGTGCGTAAGGAGGGGGGTGACTTTTCCGTACAGAAGTCCGCGAGGTGTGTAACTAGAACAGAAGAGCAGCTCACCACCGTGAGGGACAGTGGCTTTCCTGTATCTTCTGATTATGGGCCCGCGGAGCCGCGGGCGTCGAGCCGGAGCAGTGCAGCACACCAATGACAGCAGCGCCCTCAGCAAGAGTTCCCTAGCAGCGTACGGGTACGTGCACGACACCTTTGCTGCGTTACTAGTTCCGGGGACCGCGCGCCGCGCGCCACTCGTCCACCGCGGCTACTACGTCCGCGCACGCGCTGTAAGGCACTGCGTGCGTGCCTTCCTGGAGCAGACAGGCGCGGCCTCTGGTGGACGTCGCGCCCAGATCTTGTCGCTAGGTGCCGGCTCAGACGCGCTTTATTTTCGCCTCAAAACTAAAGGCCGCCTGTCCTGGGCTGCTGTCTGGGAGGTAGATTTTTCCCGACGTGGCGAGGCGCAAAGCGGAGAAGATTCGAAAAACGCCGGAATTGTGCGCTGTAACCGGTCCTTTCCGGAGTGGGGGCCCAGCGTCTGCGCTGTGCTTTGAGAGCTTGGACTACCGCATCCTGGGCTTGGACCTGAGGCAGGTCGAGCGATTGGACAAGGCCCTAGCTGCCGCAGGCCTTGATGCAGCCGCACCCACTTTGTTCCTAGCCGAGGCCGTGCTGACCTACCTGGAGCCGGATAGTGCCGCTGCTCTCATATCCTGGGCAGCCCAGCATTTTCCTAATGCTCTTTTCGTGGTCTACGAGCAGATGAGACCACATGACACCTTTGGCCAATTCATGCAGCAACATTTTCAGCATCTAAATTCTCCTCTTCATGGCTTGGACCGATTTCCTGACGTGGAGTCCCAGCAGCGCCGCTTCCTTCAGGCTGGCTGGACTGCCTGCCGTGCCATGGACATGAATGAATTCTATCGCTGCTTCGTACCCTCAGAAGAACGCTGGCGCATGGAAAATCTTGAACCCTTTGACGAGTTTGAGGAGTGGCATCTGAAGTGTGCCCACTATTTCATTCTGGCTGCTTCTAAGGGAGACACTCTCTCCCAAACTTTGGTGTTTCCATCCTCAGAGGTGTTTCCTCGGGTAGATCCTGCTTCCCCTTCAGGGACCCTCTCTGCCAGTGTAATCACTAGTGACAGCCAGGGTCCAAACTTTAAAAGATACGGTCATGCCTCTGTCCTTTTGAGCCCAGGCATTATTCTCAGTGCAGGTGGATTTGGAGAGCAGGAGGGGCGGCATTGCCGAATCAGCAAGTTTCACTTGCTCTCAAAATACTGTGACTTTGAATGGAAAGGCAAACAGATACACAGTTGGGGAACTGAAACTCAGTGGGATGGACGCCTTTATCACACCATGACAAGACTTTCAGATACTCGAGTTCTGGTTCTTGGAGGGAGACTGTCCCCAGTAACTCCAGCCTTGGGAATTCTCCAGCTTCATTTTTTTAAAAATGAGGATAATAGCACTGAGGATATAAATGTAACAGTAACAAAGGCTGGCCCAGAAGAAGATTCCACTTTGTCATGTTGGCGGCATTCAACAACAGAAGTATCCTATAAGAATCAGAAGTATTTGTTTGTGTATGGGGGTCGAAGTGTGGTGGAACATGCACTAAGTGACTGGCATTTTCTACATGTAGTGACAATGACTTGGGTCAGGATCTCAGTGGAGGGGAAGACACCTGAAGGTCGGCATTCCCACAGTGCCTGCAGCTGGCAAGGGGGAGCCCTTATTGCTGGAGGTCTAGGTGCTTCTGAGGAGCCATTGAGCTCTGTACTTTTCCTGAAACCAAGCACTTGTGGATTCCTCTGGGAATCAGTAGACATCCAGCCTCCCATTACTCCAAGGTACTCCCACACAGCTCATGTACTTAATGGGAATCTTCTGCTGGTTGGAGGGGTCTGGATTCATTCCCCCTCAGTTCCTGGGGTGACTGTGATCAATTTGACTACAGGATTGAGCTCTGAGTATCAGATTGACACAACATGTGTGCCGTGGCCATTGATGTTACACAACCATACCAGCATACTCCTTCCTGAAGAGCAACAGCTTCTGCTCCTTGGAGGTGGTGGGAACTGCTTTTCCTTTGGCACCTACTTCAACCCTCATGCAGTAGCATTAGACTTTTCTTCCTTGAGTGCTGGGCAGTAAAACTGGACTTTTGATATATGCAGGACCTATTAAAGTTGACAATAAAGGTTTCCACAAATAGGATTTGACTTTGGCTGTAGGTCTGCCCACAGCCTCTATGCCCCATCTTTTTTTTTTTCTTTAATTAGCTCTACTATCCAGTGAAGTCTGAAAGGTTATTAAAACATGTACCATCTCCAGAGAGGTAGTACAAAAATAAAACAAGGAGGCCTGTCTTAAGAGGATGGTCATATAGTCCCAGAGTAGGAATTGGGGGGCCTTTGGATCCCTGTGTCTTCCTCCTATTTTCTAATCTATGTTTATCCATTTATTGAGTTATAACAACCTTTAGCTTGAGTCAAGTGAAAAACTTCCGCTCCAAGTCTTTGCAATTTGAGATGGTACCTTGGAAAAAGTTTCACACAGATTCTTGGTAAGAATCTAAGGTTGAATATAGTTCAAGGGTTGTGGTATTGACCTCATTCTTCATGAGTGAAACCTAAAATGAACCCAGTTGCAGTTTGATTAAAGCATTATCCCATTTTGTGCAGCAGGGAACTCTTCGATAGCTTTAATAATAATTGTAGGACTTTATTGAAAAACATGCTTTCATTCCATTTTTGCCACTGGTTCCATATTTATTTAGGTTTATGAATGCTTATAAACCAAACAGTTGATGCTTCAATTCATTATGTACATTGTATAATGTTTTGCTTCAGATCTATTCTCCACCCTTCAGTATGGTCTATGCTGGAGGAGGCTGACTCATGGAATAACATCACTGAGTTTTCCTTACCCTCTAGTTTCTGGGGAGTTCAGCCAGTCAGAGGCACAAGAGGGAGCTGTAGGGCTGGAAGAGTGAGTTGGTATTCCCATTGTTTCCCCTACCAGTCCACAAGTTGGCAAAGTCTGTATTCTATCAAAAGCCACAGCTCCTGTCATGTAATCCTCTTCTATAAGATACTGCTCTAATTCTGCATCACCCCAGGTTCCAGTAATCATTCCTTCCTACCTTTTCAGGCCTAGGACTTGTAATAGCTCTTTACTAAGCCTCAGCAGCACTGTTCAATATAATAGCCATTAGTTATGTGGCTATTTAAACTTAATAGAGATTAAATAAAATTAAGAAATCAGTGGCCTAGTTGCATTAACCACATTTTAAGTGCTCAATAGCCACATGTGGCTAATGGCTATGATACTAGACAATGTAAATATAAAATATTTCCCTCACTGCAGAAAGATCTAAACATTGCTGAAGGTACTTCACCATCTTGACTTGGCTTCCCTAAACTCTGCCGACCCCCTTTTAATTAGTATCTTTATTAAACTCTCCTCAGTTATCTTCTTTGAATGGACTATCTTTCCTAGTGAGCCTTGTGAGATCAAGATGATTTATCTTAGGTATGGTATTCATCCTTAAAATTTAAGCCTTTATTTCTCATCTAAATTGTGTTTCAAAAGGTAGTGGCTTTGATGGTACTAAGTGTACCACTATAGTATTTCTTGTTAGTCTTTGGTCCATGAAAGCTTAATAATATCCTCAGATTCTGTAAGTACCTACATTCTAAAAGAACTATCAATGTTAACATCATGATGGACTTAGTACAACGCAGAATCCTCTTTCCCTAAATATTTTTATGATAACTGTCCATATAAATGAATGTGAAAAGTGTTTAATATAAAAATTGAGTAGCAAATACAAACCTAAGTGTATGGAGAAGACAGTGTTGGCTTTGTTGGATGAAAGTTCCCAAAAGACCACCATTGTCTAGCTTCAGCTTCACTGAGACTGCAAGAGCACTTTCAAGGAAAGTTGTAAGTTATGGTCATGAGTGAGTGCTAGGAAACAAGGCTTACTACAGCTAGACATCTAGCCAGACTACAGGTGGGTACTAGATAATGCAAGAATATGATCAGAAAGGGGAAAGGCTGCTTTGTATTTCCTGTTTCTAAATTCATTAGAGCCTACCTCTAACTTTGAAAAATGAAAGGAGCATATGAAAGCAGAACATTGATGAAGTGAGTGTTCTCAGCTATGTAATGGTACCAGAATTCTAATCTAGAAATGACTCCAAAGCCCAGGGAACACCTTCTGTAATGCTACCTTTTAGGTGGTGCCATCAACTATTATTTCATTACTTTTGGGGGTAAAAAAGGAGGTGGTGGTGGGGTGGAGTTGGGGGTGGAGAGTGGTGGTAGAATCATAAAGAGAATGTGAATGTGTGCCAGAGCTAAATTAGGGCAGTGGTGCCTGTTCTCTTGAGAACTGCCCAGTATGGCACATTATGACTAATAAGACTTGTTTCCAGAGAAAAGACCACCTTTTCTGTAAGTGATTACCAGAATAAGCATGCCCTTTACTTCCAACCCTACACATGCATCATACTTAGGAATTAGTTATTACTCAAGTTCTACTCATTAGAGCACTCAGAAGTTTTGTCAGCAATGTTTACTCTGTGCCTTTGGAACAGTGCTCTGTGTAAACTGGTGCAGGATCCTCGTTTCATAACAGGAATCTGCAACAATTAGAGTTGTGGGCCAGATTGAGAACTCAAGTTGGATAATAATTTTTGCTTCTCCATTTCACCTCTGAACACTTTCATCCTAAAATTCTGGAATGGAGCTCTGGGGTAGTTATGAGAATCAATGAAAGGCCTTTTCCTTGTTTATTAAATGTAGTTCTTTTTAGACCAAAAAAAACTAAGGAAAGGAGAGAAATTCTTACACTGAATATCTACTGGTAGGGTCTCGCTAGTATTATACTAGCGAGGATGTGAAAACAGGTTAAGAATAACTTCTGGGATATGTTCTTTAAAGGCCAGTGCTGCCATTTCCTGGTGTGTTTTTAGGATTTTACCACTGAATGTCCATTTTCCATCTTTCTATAGATTTAATCCTCTTTAGTGATATTAGGAAGTTAACATGTAACATGTGTCTCAGTGCTCAGGCATTGCATTGATTTTCTCTTTCAGTGATCTCAGATCTTGCAAATCCTGGGTTTATTCTGTATGCATTTTGTGATTCCAAATTTAACCTCAAACAACACATGCCTACCCTGACGCCTACATGACATCTCCTGGAAAATACTCCCATGTGGCAGCCCTGAATGTAACCAACCACTCTTTGTGCTAGAGAAGCCTGTGTTCTTGGAGAGTCTGGTTAATAATAGTAGGAATGCTTCCTAAGGTGAAGTCTTAAATCATAGGGACCATCCAGTAATGTCTAGTGTCATATTAAAACTAAACTAATCCGATTGCAGTATAAAATAGCTTTAGGTTGGCAAAGCAGGTCATGAATCCTGGATAATCACATTTGGACTTGCTGTTTAAAAAGAACAGAATATGTAGAGCATAAATTATGAGAATTATAATCAACTTTAGGTTGAGATTTCCTTGGATACCAATTATGTAAACAAAGAGCTCTGTCATTCCACAGTTTAGTTATAAGACTGCTCATTTATTTTTGGACAGTGACATAAAGTGCTTATTTGGGAAGGGGCAGTTTCTTGACTGAGGGAAGGAATTGTGTCTGTAATTCATTTCTCTATCCCCATAATAGTAGATGCTTGATAAATACTTGGGTAGAGGTCCAATCTGACACTCAAATGAATTATATTTGAATATTACTACTGTGCCTACCATGCATAAGCAGATGTCAACATTTCTTTAATTACTGTGTGTGAGGAGGGAGCATTAAAGTTTTAAAGACCCCCTGTTTAAAAGTTTTTAAAATTGAACTGCTTTGACCTGAGTAAAGGTGGTAGACTTCCTGGTGTTACTCCTAGTGTTACAGATTACACCTGAACCTTTTCCCTGATTGCAATTTCCAACTGATCCTCATCACCTTTTGCTCAACATTGGACCATGGTTACCCCATATCTTTCGGAAATAAAATGAGCTAACTTGGCCGAAAGGTTAATCTGAGGGACTAGGAACATACAATTAAATGTGCTCATGAGAATATACATCTTCCTAGGATGTAGTGATGCTTCATTGGGCATGACTTGGTGTGTAACTCTCAATATAAGTTTAATAGAGGGAGAGGAAAGACCTTTCCCTAATATTTACTTGAACAGTCATTTGCCACCTAATTGTTAGACTAAGGCTAGGGAATAAATTTTAGTAAGAATGATTTTTAGGATATGATGCCACATCCTGCTTTTCTCATTTCCCAGCCTTTGTCTACATTTTTAGGGCAAAAATTATTATCCAACTTGAGTTCTCAATCTGGCCCACAACTCTAATTATTTTATTAGAGTCTCAATCTCTGAATCATATTTATACTATTTCAGAAAAAGTTAGCAAAGATAGTCTTTCTTATTTCTAAATTCATCAGCAATATAACCAATACTTATGAGGAAAAAACTGTCATCACCACCCCTCCAAAAAACAATGAAAAAATCGGAGTCTATACAGATTCAGAAAGCAGACTAAAGGTTGCCAGAGGGAAGTGCAGTTTGGGAACTGGGTGAAAAAGGTGAAGGGATTAATTTCTTGTCTCCCTCTTCAAATTGGTAGTTACAAAATAGTAACAAGAATGTAAAGTATAGCATAGGGAATATCGTCAATAATATAATAACTATGTATGCTGCCAGGTGGGTACTGAAAATATTAGGGGGAACACTTTGTAAAGTATATGATTGTCTAACCACTATTCTGTACACATGAAACTAATACAAAATAATATTGAATGGAAACTGATCGAAAATAAAATTTAAATTAAAAAAGAAAATTTTAATACACACACAGGAGAGTCTAGACCTCAATCCTCTGAATTTATATTTGGACAATTGAGTCTGGCCAGCGTATTTTTATTTCCAGCACATGACACATAATAAATGCTCAAAAAATGACACATGAGTGGCTATCTGTTTTAGTTAGGCCAAAACTAGTTATAGTGAATTGTAATAAGATCAGAGATTACCACCAGAAAAATAAAAATATAGTGTAATGTCATGATAATTAAAAATAGTTTGATATTAATGCCAGAATAAAGGTGATATTTCAAACTAATGAACCAAGGCTGGACTATTTGATATATGATTTGGGACCACCTGGCTAATCATTTGTGAAGAGTGATGTTTG